TTCTGCTGTGGTTTAAATGTACATAGCAGAGATGATGCACGGATGGGTCCCTCAAGAGCTCCTGAGCAGTTATGTTGTCACATTCAGAAAGTCGAATTAGCTCATCTGTAAATGCCGAACGAACAGCTTCCCCGTCAGAAATGAGATTGAACAGCGTCCAATCCCGCGTAGGGTTTCTTCTCCTATTTGCCCTACTACCCACCTCTGCACGCTTCCACTGTACGCTCTGGATATTTCTAGAACAAATGAAACAGCTGACGGTAGAATTTCTGAGAACGTCGGGAGAAAATCTTCTCTTCCAGAGACGCAGGGCCCTTGACGCTGATTTGGCACCATACCTCCTGGGATTACACAATACTTGCCATCCAGCGTTCTTGTCCCGGCAAGCAGTGCAGAGGTACACAGCCGATTTTCCCGCTACATCAAGGGTAGCAAAAGGGTTCAGGGACGTTCCTGTGTCAGCAGTAGCCCTAGCTCTTACCTGCTGTTCGTCGAGAAGTATTAGCAGGCTTGGTTTTCGTCTGTCTTGTGTTTGGCAGGCGAAGCAAGGGGGACATAGGAACTCGTCATGCGCCCGTCCAGATGGCGACGGATCAGACGAAACGGGCTCCGCATGTGCCATACTTGTCCGTTTTGCGCATTAATCAGCAGAAACCAGAAGAGAACTCAACTGACGAGCGCTTGAGGTATGTGGAGAGAGTGTCGCTTCTCGGGAAGAGATGGAAAATGCGAGCCGAAAGTCAAGGGTTGGTAGTACATCCGAAACTGTGCCCTTATGACCTCGCGGAGGTCCATTTCTAACATAGCTAGTGTCAGCTCGGCATGGCCCAAAATTTATCATAACAGCCAAAATGTCAGATAAAACCCGGGTGGTCACTGACTGTGTAACACTTTGTAGGCTACATTTAGTCAATAACTCTAACAATCGAGTCTTTACGCAGGCACTGGAGGAGGGTAGCCACAGTAGATATTGTACCCCGGCGGCTCGCGTCGGATGCCGCCCTCGGACTTCATGTTGCCGGATTCCGCACCAGAGCGTAAGCTCTAACAAATTCCCAAGTACCAGACTATCTCACTTCAACATCCGCCCGTTCCTCGGCATGCCGATGTCTTCCTTCGACACAAACTGCCGTTAGGACGAACTGTCCGAATTCTCGACAGCGCACACGCTGCAAAGGTCTCTTCTGACTTTGAAAGAGTCTGTTCCCATCACTCTTCGGGTCATTAGCGACTGGTATGAGGCATTTTGTACCCCGATCGTGAAATGAAATGCTACCCCGGAGCGATGACTCAGAATACCATGCTGACCGCAAAAAGTTCATTCGCATCGCGAGGAGAATCTTTTCCAATGCTTGCACATTTCGGAAATACATAGATGACCTGAATAGTCAAATTCAGGAGCCAGAGCATAAGATTTGCCTAGAATCGACAAAGCTACCGCATCGCTCCTACACTCGATTGCTTGACCGGCTATATGTGGCATGGCCAGGGCAGACGCAATATCCAACCTTGCATGGGTCCCAGCCGGCAGTGGGGTTTGTCTCGATAGACCAGGTCATTCAGAATGTAATCATTGGAGCTTTGCGGAAGTTTCCTTCACGATATGAGGCGCAACGCCACAATACATTGTGCAATGGCTTTTCCTTGGGCTCTCAACATGGGATAGGTAGCGTCTTTCGCAATTTGGATTTACGCTCATCTTCGTCACAAATTCAAATATTGCGATCCCCCGCGTGGAAAGAACTGTTGCAGAACATTGGTCCAGCCCTTTTGACTCATTTGTTGAGCCAAAGTATCCTTTTGGTCGCCACCTCAGAAGAAACCCAACGTTCCTTCCGAAAGCCCGGGGTTTCTGCAGATCTCCCACTATCTTTCGTCTTTCTGCAAATTTGTGGCCCGTCCCCGTCCGATTACAAAGCTAAAGCATCCACTTCATCTTCTAGAGGAGAGTCTGAAATAGTACTGAGAAGAGATATTCTGTACCATAACGCCAATCAAGGAGAAATGTCTTCCCATCATGCTGAAGTTAATATTCCCCCCACAACAGCTGCCCAAGTGCCATCAAGATGCCTCAACAGCGGGCTTCCGCGGATGCACCATTTGCAAGGGCTCAGTCCTAGTCGCGCTTCAGCAAGGTTTCTAATCTCAAGGATTTTTTCAGGGTGCTCACCTGCCAACTTATTGACCATCCGACAGCCCGACGGGGCAGGAGCCGCAAAGCGTGGACCCACGAGAGGAACTAGATGGCTGCGCGAGCGACGGAAAGTGCACAAGCGATTGGTTGGGGTAACCCCAATCCTTGAAGAAGTTATCAGAAGAACGAATAAACGTTCCTTTCGGAGACTACTCGGGAAAATGTGCCCTTTGCCGCAGTTGTCAAGGACAGGGCTCGTTGACTGTGCCACTAACCCAAGAGATGTTACAAGGTTTTTGATAGCTTGTTTTCGCCAACTTGCACCCACCGCATTGTTTGGATCCGAAAGGAACCGTTATATATATGAGAACGGCATTCGGGACCTGGTCTGTCGAAGACTAAAACGCGAAAGCTTCAACATCCGTAAAAGGGTTACAAGGAGGAGAATTATTTTGTCGGAGGTAGTCTGGCTCTATCGACCAGGAGCGCACGGCAAGAAGATATGCAATCCCACCGATTTCGCTTTCCGATGGTTAAGAATTGAAGAACTTTTCGAATGGATGTTTCGAGGTGTATTGCTACCAATCTTACATCAAAGCTTTTACGTTACTGACGGAGATCTTTACCGTAATAGACTTTTCTATTTTCGGAGGGAGGTGTGGGCACAACTCACACATGCAGCATACGAAAATATTCTACGGAATGACAAGAAGTTTTCTGTGCTGTCTAAAGATGGTCTGGCCGCATGCACGCTGCAAAGACATGACAGTCTTCAAAAGTTGGATCCTGTACTTTGTCCATATCCTGTCCTGATGCACCACGAACTTCGCTTTGTTCCAAAGCGGTCCTCATTAAGAGGAATCCAATGCATCCGTGGAAAGATGTTGCGCGGGTTTTCATGTCTTAAGAGTAGTCATAGGACTATTCTTAGCACCCGAGATATTCGTTTCAGGGCTTCCGGAACTATCAGAAAGGCAAAAACAAATATGAAGAGTGCGTTTCGTTACATTTTGCGAATCCTTTCGACTGAGAGTCATGTGAAGTCGAGGCTGGGTGCTTCTGTCTTTTCGCTAGATGATGTTTTTGATCGTTTTTTGCATCTCAAGAAAAAATGGGTACAAAACAAGCGCCCAGCTATGTATGCATGCAGTGTCGACATCACGACCAGTTTTGACACAATACCGCTTGGGACCTTATTTTCAGAGGTTATTCCAGCGGTGCTGACAAAAGAGCGTTATGTTGCACTTCGGTATCAAATTGCGAAAGCCAGTATCGCGACAGGCAAAACAAGACAAAGGTGCTTAACCCATGTCTGTACTGAGCCTGGAGAAGAAACCTCGTTTTCCGGCGTAGTTCGGCGCAAACTCGCTCCAGATCATGCCGGTGCTGTGTTTACCGACCTCGTTCAGAGAGTCACAATATCGAGAGATCAGATTTTACAATTTCTCTGTGAGTTCTTGAGGAACAATCTAATAGCTGTGCCAAAGAGCGACCACAGTGCTTTGGAGACCGGATTTGCAGTACAATGTCGAGGTCTACCACAAGGAAATCAGCTTTCCCCACTGTTAACATCTTTATTTTATGCCTACGTGGAGAGGCGCGACCTTGCTGAATTTCTCCAGGGACAACCGCAGCAATCAGAGCTCACCACGCCTACTTTTAATGAATGTCTATGCCTCTTAATGAGACAGGTGGATGACACCTTGTTCCTCACATCAAGGAAAACTCGAGCTATTCAGTTTCTGCAACGTATGGTAAAAGGATGGAGGCATTCGCACGGTTTTGGAGTGAACATTGAGAAGACCAAAACGAATTTCAAATCCGACTTTGCTGGAAAATGGGTGAAAGAAATGGCATGGTGTGGACTTAACATAGATGTTGCGACAATGCAAGTTCGAAATGATTACACTCGATATGGCCAGGACGAGGGTGGATGCGTTCGTGATGCTTTGTTCATAGAACATGATACGATGCCAGGGACATGCTTTGCAGAGAGGGCATGGGCATGTTTCAAGCCCAAGCTACATGCTCTCCTGCTTGACTCAAGAATAAACTCTCGACGAACCGTGGCATTGAACTTGTACCAGGCAGCCCTTCTGGCATGTCTAAAAATGAGTTCTTACGCTACTGTAATACAGCCGCGAGAGAAGCAGTTGATTTGCGTCGTAGATGTGATGATGTCAAAGTTTGTCGAGTTAGTCAATCGTGCCATGCGTTCACGCATGGCGGCATCACGGAGATGCCGTCTTCCGCTGTCTCAGGTCGAACTGCGATATTTAACTTTTCACGCTTTTCAGAGCGGTATTGCGAAAAGGCTCCGAAAAAGACGAGGCATGCGAAAAAGGACAGAATCTTGTCTGCGAATGGTCCAAGAGCGCCTCGATGAGTGCGCAGACTGTTTGCGAAAGCAACACGACTCTTCGATGCAGGGCGTCGCGAATCGTATCAACCAAACCTCTTGTACGTCTTTATGGAGGTTAAGACTTTGATCACTTGAGCACGAGGAGTGGACCATTCAAACCCTTGATACTGCAACAATCCATTTTCCTGAGTGCTTGTAGGAAATGAGTGGCAACAAGGCAAATCGTGCGTTACAACAAAATGGAAGATTTTTGTAAATCATTTAGTTTGCTTTTTTTGCAATCATTAAGCTTTTCTGAGGCATTTGTGCCTGGGTTCCCTGAATTAACTCATCTACATGGATAAAAATCAAATTTGTCCCACGCCACCATTGAATGGGCTCCATACGCATTTGCTGACCGTTGTGCGCATCCAATGGAAGGAAAAGAGGCAGAGAAAGTCATTCCGGATCGATCTGACAGGTGCTGATCCTTGAATGTATTTCGAAGCCAGAAGCCCCTACAAGCTACATCCATTCTTCACAAGCTGTCTCAAAGTCGCCAGTCTCAGCGATCATTTCATATGCACGCATCATTTCCTCTCGTATGACTGCGACTGCACCTCGCTCCATCCCTCGCGAAAGGTCATGATCGATATCGAAGGGGTCCTCGATGCAAAATAAGTGCTTAGATTCCAAACGAGGTTTTCTCGGGAACGGTATACGACCTCGTTCCCTGGAAGAGGCAGGCAACTTTGCCGGCTGTTCCTTGATTCCGTTCGCCTTTTCTTCCTCGCGTACCTTGCTTTCTTCGGCATCTGTTTTCTTTCGAGCGTCAAGCGCAGTCTTCGCAGCTTCGTAGGCAATTTTGTATTGCTTCTGCTTGAATTCCCATTCTCTATACACACTTTGCTCATCCCAGCCACGTATCGATCGTGGGACCTTCTTACCCATTCGTATTGATGCTAAATCTGTGCTGTAGCGGAATGTGTACGTAAAGTAGCGGAAAAATCCAAGAAGAAGCTCATGAACCGGAGTGTGATTTGCAGATTGAAAAGTTTCCGGAGTCACCGTTCGATCAAAATATGTGTTGTACAGTTTGGATTTTCCCTTCCCCACCATTTCCTTCGGTACATTCTGACCCTTTGATAGTCGCTTTCCATTGACCATGCGCTGCAAGCACGGCAATACTGGCGGACTCACCGTTTGCAAGTAGTGAATAACCAGCAGCGTATAGGCATACGAACTCAGCGTTCCATGATATGCGTCGTTTAGATCCCTGCGCTTCGCCCACAATTTAACGAGAATGCAGACATATCGAAAGCGTTCGTCGAGATCCACATATGCCTTGAGAAGTTCTGTATTTCGTACAGCGAGGGTGTTATTCACACATATATCTACTTGAAGCTTTGATTTTGGGTCATGCATCTTAATGACCGGAACCCTTGCCTCGAGTACCTTGCTTAGTATCGATATATTGTTTTCTTCCATTATAGTGGCAAGGCGGGCAAGAATGACTTTCGGGGGATCCGGCACGCCTGCCTTAGTTCCATGTTCGGCGGCCACGTCATCCGGCATATACAGTGACATATCTACATCAGCCGATCGGAGGCCAAGACCATTACCCGCAGAACCATACACGTCAATACCCGCACCAGGCCACTCGGCAGAGATGACTTTTCTCAACCTATCGAGCAATTCCTCACGCACTTCGACAACCTCCAGCTCTGGGGTGATCTTCGGAAAGATGTCTTCTATCTGTTGAACAAGTTCCGCCTTTGCTCGGTCGGAGAGCCGTTTGCACACCGGTTTGCTCGGAATACAAATGTCCAATATCCGAGAAACGACCCTTCGACGTCCAGCTCTCCTCCTTTCGGCATGCTCCCAACGCGCATCGCGGAGTGTTTTCGCATTCGCACGCGGCGGGGTAACATGTGCATTTCCGCGAGGACCTGGTGTTAACGTCGAATCGCCCTCTGACAGACGTTCGCTCTCACTATCGCTGGGGTCGATACGAGTTGCTTCCGCAAATTGGCGGACTAGAGCATCTTCGAGCATAAAAGGTGCGCGAGCGTCAAGCGCAAAGCCATTCTCCATGCCTTCCGTTTGGTTTGGTGGGGTATAGCCGTTGGCAAAGGCTTCCGGTCCGAGTGCGATGCGATCGGAGTTGGAGGTTCCAGACTCAAAGGCCTTTGCCGCTTCGAGCAAGTTGGATAGGTTCGGGCTCAGAAAGGGGACGAGGGGCGTTTGCGGGGCTGAAAGCGTGAGTTGCGGCGGTATGGAGGGTGGAGCAAGGTCCGCAGTAGGGCTTATGGGCAAACCGGAAGTGGGGGCTGCAACCGGAGAGTGCGGAGTGGGAGGTCTGTTGTCATGACCGGGTGGAGGGGCGAGAGGATTGATACGTTCTGCCATTCCAAAGCGGGAGCTGTTCAAATTGATAAGGACCGGATTGGCAGGATCTGTATGTGGATAAAAAGTCAAGCCCGCGTCAAATACAGATTGCTGAAATTGAGGATTGATTACGAAGTAGTGGTAGAAAGCCGCGGGCTGTGCCATGAAAGCTGAGATGTGTGTGGTCCACAGACGGTAGCTGGCGACGATGCGAGGGTCGTCCCACAAAGTGGTTGTAGGTTTCTTCTTCCATGGGCCAGAGACAGGGGCGGAAGCAGGGGACCTCGGCGGTGTAGAGTTATGCGGTTTGTAGCGTCGCGTAGACTTGCGGGTGCGATTATGTCGAGACGGGGAGGACGGAAGGTTGGACTTTCCATTGATGGGACGCTCGTGAGGACCGGAGAGGGATGAATTCTGATGGGGATCGGGGGTGGGGGTTATGGCAGTTATTGTGGTGACAGTTGAAGGAGGATGCGATGGAGGGGTCGGTTCGGGCAGCTTGCCGGACACAACGGCGGCCCAAGACATGGCGGACGCAAGAAGGAAGGAAAAGGGAAGGCAAGGAAGGGGAAGCGGGGAAGAGGGGGGAAGGGG